GTTGTCCTGTAAACAATGGCACAGACAAAAATAACCAAAGAAGCAGCAAAAAGTATTATGATGATCATAGTCTTCCACTGTTCAAAGAAGTCAACAGCAAAGAAGATTCAGTCAATGAAATTGAATCTACAAGCACTCACCTTGCTGCTTTTATTGGGTCCTGCATTCTTAATTCTTCTCTGGAGAACGAAGGATTTGATGAAGTAACTTATTAACCCTTCTTAATTCACATTCAAATTGCAAACCTAATTGAACAAAGAAACCATACCAAAAAACATTAATAACACATATAATTGCTTCAAAGAAACTCTAGGGATTGAAACCACCTCCACTCCACCAACCCAACGTAAGACCAAGATATTAAACCTAACGACGTTTCTATCAAACCAATATATAAAACCAAGATAGTATATTACACTTCACATACACAATTTGGTACAATTTTCTAAAATTTGCTGTGATAAATTGTTGTGTGTACACAAACAACTAGAAGCGTGTATAAAAAACATGTACCAATGACGTGCATACACAATTTTTCCATATTAACAAGGTTAAAGGCCAAGATTTGCATACTTTTTTAAACTATGTCTTGTAATTAATGTTCATCTAATTCAACAATCTACAAGTGGTTAAAGACCAATATTTGTTCTCGCTTAAATGTGAAGACTACTTTTTACTTGAGATCACCCTTATATATAATATGTGGTTTTTTTGTATTCATATATATTACGGAGTAGTTGTTATATCGTGAGAGCGTCATGTTGAGCATGATACTCTCGGGAAAAAGAACAAATATACCCCTATAGTATGAGTGTGAGGACAAATATATCCATGTTCTATTGTTTGAAACAAATATATCCCTGAAGTTTATGTGTAAGTGCATATATACTCCTAAACTTTTAAAAGGTGCACAAATACCCCTCATGTTCCTATATATGAGCAAATTTAACATTATTGACTTTAGATAAATAATATCAATTTTAAAAAACACCAAAAATAAATTATAAATTTGAAATCGAAAAATAAAGAAAAATTAAAGAGTTAAGAATAAAGATTTATTTTTATGTTAAATTATTTACTCTTTAATTTTAAATTGAAAACTTATTATTTTCCGTTGTGATAAAAAAACAATAAAAGGGAGAATTGGAAACAAGTAGATTTTGTTTTTCAATTTCAAATTTATAATTTATTTTTGGTGATTTTTGAAATATATTTTATTTATTTTAAGTCAATTAGAGAAAATTTGCTCATAGGAACATGATGTATATTTTTGCATCTTTTAAAAGTTCAGGGGTGTGTATCACTATATGTACTTCCACAAAAACTTCAAGAGTATATTTGTTCCAAAAACTAGAACATGAATACATTTGTTCCCATATTCATACAAAAAGGTATATTCCTACCTTTTTCCTAATACTCCCACACCTTTTTAGATGTTCTACTAATTTTCCCTTTTAAACATAGAATAGTGATTGTGGCCAATTTTCTCACCTTCAAATGAATCTCAACACAATTTTTTTTATATGTGTAAGTCAACGTTAATAAAATTATTAGGGACATATTCAGTCAAAAAAAGTTATTAGGGACAAAGACATTATTACTTTTCTTTGAAGAACCCTTTTTAAATTGCGAGTTCTAGTTATCTAGCTAGTCATCAAGACTTTTTTTTTTTTTAAATATAGATGCAATTCATTAATTAACTAAATCATTAGGCAGATGGCTTATAATTTAAATGAGGTGTACCGTAGTCATACTATACGATCAAACAAAGAAAAAGTAGGTCTAGCAAACATATGAGCTATTTGATTTGCAGACGGTTTATATGTGATACCTAATGGCTAGCACCTAGCGACTATTTAAAGTATTTCACAATTCAACACAAAATCTTTAAATTTTATCTTATTAATACAATAAAGAGAAAATAACTTTATACAATACCAACTATCAACCATAAATCAATATATACATATTTTGAAAATAGTTTTTAATAATACCAACTATTTGAATATAAAATAAATATAATTTGAAGTTACTTTTCATCAAGAAATACAGTCATTTAAGAAATTAAAAACTATTATCAAACTATCAAACAAATAATATTTGGATATATTTATTTGATATTTTGAAACTAGTGTTTGACGGATTAAATAATTGAATTCTCATTGAAAAATCGATGTATATATACTTGGTGTTATTGAAAGTATTTTCAAATTATGTTTGATAATTTGTATTATTTAAAGTTATTTTTCCTAAACGATAAAAAAAAGTTATTTTTCCTAAAATAAAAAAAATTAATACATACTCCCTCTGTCCCGTTGGGATGTTCTCGGTTTGACCTACACACATATTAAAGAAATAAACTTACCGGGAGTAAATTTTACTATTTGGACACTGTTTGGACACTATTTTGACACGGTTTGACACTATTTTGATGTAGGACAACTTTCCATTTAGAGAAAGAAAAACTTTTTTTGGAACATCTAAAAAAGGAAAGTAGAAACATCCCGACGGAATTTAACCCCATTCAACTCACAACTAGCGATATAAAAAATTGGATTTTTTTTTTATATAAAATGTTTAGTGAAAAGGGTTAATTTAATAAACTACGGGTAAAAAAATTTGATGATATATGACCAATCACGTCATACTGTCATCTTTCAAAAAAAAAAACGTCATATTGTCATAATTTTGCGGGAAAAGGTGCAAAAAACCCCTGAAGTTATCACCAAAGGACACTTAAGCCCTTAAACTTAATTTTTGTGCAAAAAACTTGAAAATATATGAAAGGTGGGCAATTACCCCTTTGCTTAACGGTTCACGTGGAACTACGGTTAAAGTTTCTAGTTTCTACCGTTTACTCCGCATAACAAATCAAACATGAACAGTGCTTTTTCATTTAAAAAATTCAATTAATGTTACTCCGCATAACAAATTAACAACTACCGTTTATTTTACCAAAAAAACTACCGTTTAAAGTTTCTTCTTTAAACAAATCTTTAATGAACAGTGCTTCTTTCTTAAAGAATTCAATTAACGGGGTATTTTTAAAAATATGATGGACAAAAATATAACTTAGTAACTATTAGTGATTGTAATTATGTTCAAATTTACATCAAATTATTATTTTAAATAAGTTACTATGATATAAATTTTGTACACAATTACAGTCACTAATAGTTACTAAACAATATTTTATTCATGACTTTTTATTAGTAATAATTAAGGAAAACACCCTTTTCATAATTACAATAAAAAATCAATTACTAACCGACTTATTAAGGACTATGTGCTCGTTTGGTGATTTCTATTTTCCGGCTTATCAAAGTTATCAATCAACTTTTTCACCAAACATGTAACATTTAATTTAGCGTGTTGGATTATGTAATAATAAGAAAAAGTGAAGTTGGAGTTACTTTCCTGATTGAAGTTATCGTAGATGATGATTTTTTGTATATAATTAATTTTTTCTTTATTTTATATAATAAAATATATTTTAAATGTAACTTTTCGATAAATTAGCATAATTATCCAATACAACTGATTTGTGTATTACCAAGCGGACTCTAAAAGTCACCAAATTTCTAATATATTCTTAAAACCGAAATAACATCGAACCGAACTAAAATATCAATTAATCTTTCATACGAAGTATAATTTTAGAACATCACAAATCGAAATCGAATTAAATCAAATCAAACTGAGACATATAGCTATGTATGATTTTTCTTGGTTCACGGGCGGCGTCACAACCGCATCAGGCCACTATACTGGTGTAATATTAAGAAAACATCTCGTGACTTATGAACACAACTAGCAGATAAAAAATTAATTCAAAAACCAATTCCTTATCTCAATATGATTTATATGGTTAAACAACGCATAAGTTATTTAAACAGTATTAGTGGATATGTGCCTTTTAAACTCTTTATCTTCAAATAATTTGATCAAATTTTATCCTTTTTTATTTTCAAATAATTTTCCTTTGGTTTGTCATTTATTACGATTTAATGTGCCAATACTTTTTTCTAGGGAACTTCAATTATAAAATCAAAGTTATTATTTCCATAGTGTAAACTTAGAAAGTAATAGATTTAGATGTCGTGTATGTACTAATGATTTTTTTAAATATAAACTATCTGCAAAGCCTACACAAGCCACCCCGCAACACTAACAAAACAAATTGCCTCGCTACACCAACGATAAAAATTTTGCCCCTTGACTCAAAATTCTGAATTGTCTCTGACTCCCTCCACCCCTAAATTATCTTTTAAAATGGGTTTTGCAAGGGAATTAAGAAAATAAAAAATTGTGTGATGGAGAGTTGAACCAAAGAGAGATAAATGTGTGAGATTGTGTAAAAAAATATTGTGATTGAACCATAAATTGATTGCCTAAAAAGAAAACAAGATTATTTTGGGATGAGGGGAAAAAAATTTGAAAGATTACAATGAGACAATGAGACGAATTTTAAAATATGTTTTAAAAATAATTTATTAATACATTGATAAATAAAGTGTAGTCACGATAAAGCGTCATCAAAGTAGAATACATGAATAATGTAAAATTCTAAATATTGCATTTATTAAAAAAAACTGATGAAATTTGTCCTGATTCCTTCAATAGAGTACTAGCTGAAATTATAAAAAAATCAAAAACACTATAAGGATACAATTTGTTAGGCACGGTGATAATAATCAAAGAGCAAATTTAACACCTTCCTACTATGTACTACGTAGTTGCCAACTACACACGGTCATAACCAACTCTGTTACTTGGGTTCACGGTGTTACTTGATTCACCGTTACAGAAGGGGCTGATTGCCCTCCTCTTTCCTGATTTTATAACTTTTTGCACCGGTATAAAGTTTAAGGGCATAAGTGTCCTTTGGAGACAACTTCAAGGGTTTTTTTGCCCCTTTTCCCTAGTTTTGATCAAACAGTTGATAACACTTGATAGTTCAACAAAAGAGCAAAGCACACATAAAAAAACCCAGAGAATGACAAATACGGAGTAACGAGTAAACAGGCCCAGCACATCGCCATCCTAATAAATCAACCTCCACGGACGATGAGCAGACCTCAAAACATGACGGATCTCTTACAGCTTTCATTTCTTCCCCGTGATATCCTTTTCCAGATCCTGGTTCGACTTGGCGCCAGATCTCGGGGGAAGCTAAGCTGCGTTTCTAAATCTTTCCGCTCCATATTGACCGATCCAAGTTTCGCAGAGTTTCATCGAAATTGGTCAGCGGCTCTTAACCACGGCACAACCATCCTCTTCTCTATTTGGCATATGCTTACGATGGATCATCATCACCCACTCCCGTGTCCTGTGCTCGTTTCCACGCCACATCAATTTTACACCATAAACTATACAGAAGATCGAGCCGGAGATCTCGTTCAAGCAAAAATTGTTCCGCATATGGACAAAGTATGGGTCGGGTATGGAAGATCTGTGTCTTTTGCCAAAGATCAAATATGTTTCTTCCACGAGCAAACCCATCCAGATTTGAATGTTTTAAACCTTGCCGCAGGACAACGTACTACTCTCCCGGCAATCCCCGGGTTTTCCTGTGCGCTCTCGGGTTACGATGGCGTTTCGGGAACATACAAGGTTTTGCTGTCGGTAATTAACTTTTACAGGAGGACTGTGAAGTACTGGGTGTTCACACTCGGTGCGGATAAAACGTGGAGGGAGATCAAGAGCCCTGTATTGTTTTACTTAAGCAGACGTTTCATGAATAGCGTTTGCATTAATGGCGTGATCTATTCCTACAATGAGCTCTGTGGCCGCTGGTGGGAGACATTTGGGAAATCTCCCATCGGGCTGGTGGCATTCGATGTTCGGTCGGAGAGTTTCCACCTGATACCTCTTCCTCCAACTATTTGTGAAGAAGATGTGAGAAAATCCTCTTTACTAGAATTCAGAGGGCTATTAGCTGTCATTTATCTCCATCAGAACAAGCAATTTATTGCTTGGACATTGGGGACGGCAGCAGAGACAACAGCAAAATCGACATCTTGCTGGAAGAAGCATACTTTCCCCTTCCCATTGGGCAGTGAATTGTTTTCGAAGCCTTTTATTACTGCTACTCCAGCTGGGGAAATCGTAGTGTTAACGCTGAATGGAATAACTTCTTCTCTTTGGGTTTTATTGGATAAATTCGGGGCAGACTCCATTTGGAAGAAAATTCGAATTATGGATGTGAGTGACTGTCCTAGTGTCAAAGAAGCATTCGAAGTTGTGGATGCACAAAACATTGTCGAGAATCTCTTTCACTTGAAATAATTTTGCCTGCAAAACCCATGGCTGTCTGGTCTTGTCCACCTTACCATTTCATTTCATCACTTGGCATTTCCCAACCTTTCATTTACTTTAGTTTTTGCTTCTTAGCTAGGCCTTATTTGCTAAATATTCTTCACCTATCCCCCTAGAACATCTCTGTGCCACGGGCATTCTGGTGTTTCGGGGATGTACAAGGTTTTTATGTCGGACGCTGAAAAGTACTGGGTGTTCACACGGGGCGTGGATGAAGTTTGGTGACAGATTAACAGCTCTGTAGTGTGCTACTGTGTAGCAATTTTCTTGAATAGTGTTTGCATTAATGGCATGATCTATTTTGCTGGTATTACAGCCTCTCGCATAGGCTCCAACCTGGTGACGTTAGACGTCAGGTCCGAGAGTTTCCACCTGATACCTATTCCTCCAGCAACATATCAAGAAATCAGAGGATCCTCGTTGTTAGAATTGGATGGGCGGCTGGCTTTCATTCATGTCCATCAGAACAGGCAGATTAGTACTTGGACCTTGGAGACTGCTGCGGAATCGTCATTTTGCTGGAAGAAGCATGCTTTCCCCCTTCCATTGGAGGCAGACATTGAATCAATTTGGATTACCTCAATTACTGCTACTCTAACCGGGGAAATTGTACTGCTAACGCTGAAGGAAACACCTTCTCTTTGGGTTTTATTTGATAAGTTCGGGGCATACCCTGTATGGTCGAAATTTGGAATTACTAGACTTGCTGACTTTCCTAAGGTACTTGCGAATCAATCGAAACTGTCGAGGTGCAAATCATTGCCGAGAATATCTTGCACTTGGAATAATCTGGCCTGCAAGACTTCTTGAACAAATGCCATGCTGGTCTTCTCCTCCACTTTATCATTTCATTTCATCATTATCAATTATCATCATGAGTTACACTCTTACCTTTATCTTCCCTTTATCTTCTTAAATTTCTTCTACTTAGATAGTCAGATAGAGTAATTATTAATTAAGTCTTCAAGTATATATAGTCCACGTACCTAATTTTTTTTTAGGGATTTTATTGGGATTAATTACAATTTGGTTGATTTCTTATGTTAGTGTGACTATTAGCTTGGTGCATGTTTAAATCGTTTAAGTAAATGTTACATCGAGCAATACAACTAAGCAAGAAATTCTTTGCTTGTGTATCTCTTTAATTTGTGAACTGCATTTGTACACTACAAAAACACACCATGCAGGCATGCATATCCTGCTGCCTTTAGGAATTTTAGTCTCAGGCAATCGACAGGACCCTTACATATAGCAAGATAACATAAACATGAACTGCTGCATATTTAAGGAAAGTTCTCTAAACTGAAATCACGGTTTACTAAACGAGCTCTCAATAGTGAATAAAGTTGGCACAAATTTTATACACAATGACACCAAATAAAGAATAGATTGCACTGTTTTCTTAGAGGTGATCTACGTCGAAGACCTGACAAGATTGTAAAATCACATTTTTGAATCGAATTCATAGAACTTTAAAATCAAATCTTAAATCACATGAAATATTAGTTTAATCATGCCATTTGCTCTTATGCTAATCTATGATGTTAGATATGGTTCAGTACAATATTGTTCATATTACAGTGATTGGCGATGCGTCATGCTCTTCTAATAAACTATTCTTAGATCGACACCGCCTCCAAATTTTGTAAGAAAAGAACACACTGTCATTCCTACATTTTTCTTCAAGCATATTTTTCTCCAAACAAGCTCATCATAAACAGTTAAAGTATGAAGTCCTAAAGATACTGAAAAATTGTAACTGAAAAATTGCACGATATGTGATTTTGAACAATGTGTCGGATAACTTAACGCTCTGCAATCCATTCATTTACTGGCTGAATTTGTGTTCTATCAGTGTTCTATAACAAACTCTAATATAGTACCTGTGCCATGCATGAATGAAATCTACTTTAGTACTAATAAAGTAGAGTCATATCAATTAAAATTGATTTCCACTTAAATTGCAAATGAGTCCAATCATTTGAATTCATAATTTTTAGATTAGAAATTGCCCTAAATAGGAGTAAAAACGTTTTGAAATTCCAAAATAGAACTATCACGCTTTTTATTCCCTAAATAAAGAGAGCAAAATAGCACTATTTATGCTAATGAGTTGGACATTTCCTAAGTATTAGAAATAAACATAATTGATCTACTTTTTTGTAAAGAACATAATTGAGCTGTTGAAGTGTACCTTATTACCTATAGATTTTGTCCTGAATTTACTTTATATATCATTTTTTGAATGCTCTAACTTTTAATGCCAACGATGTCGCTAAAATATAGGAGTAGTATAGGTAATAAGGTACACTTCAACAGCTCAATTATGTTCTTTACAAAAAAGTAGATCAATTATGTTTATTTCTAATACTTAGGATACTTAGGAAATGTCCAACTCATTAGCATAAATAGTGCTATTTGCTCTCTTTATTTGACATAATAATCATTAGGACTTAAAATATGGAATTTCCAATTGTGTATACCATGCTACCTTCGTTCTTTATTTAGTTGTAACATTGGTTAATTTTGAACTATTCAAAATACTCTATTTTGACTATATTTAATTTATTAATGTATTATAGTTTTTGAAAAATATTGTTAAATTCCTCTCATTTTAAAATTTTAAGATATGAACTTTTAGTTTTTTTACTAATAAGAAATGAATAAAATAAGTCATAAAATAATGAAGTGATAAAACCTTTTAAGACAAAACATAAAAGAAACTTAATTTAAAATTTATTTGAATCCCTCTAATATCTCAAGGAATGGTAACAATTTTAACTACAATATACTCAAATTTAAACTAAACATTCACTACCTTAATGTCAGGTGTATGAGTTAATTTCGAAAGTCGGAAGGTTAAGTTTGTTAGTAAAAGAGCTAAGACCAGTCTTTTAGAGCCACTTTAATAACCCCTATAATTTTCAGGGGCGGTCGGGCAGAGCCAAGGCATTGAGCCAAATTCGGTCGGTACAAATAATACTTTTGGGAAAAAAGTTACTTCGAATTTTTTACACTAAAAAATAAAGTTTTTTTTTTTAAATTTGGGGTAGGCAGCCTAGGTTGCCCCCGGATCCGCCAATGAATTTCATCTTATTAGTCTTATCATCCAACTTCTTACCAATCACATTATTTTTTTTTTATTTCGCACGCCGAATTGAGTAATAATCGAAATGAGTAAGGGCGGAGATACGTTTCTGACCGAATTAGCTAAAACTTTTGTAGAGCACCATATTAGCTATTTTTCATGTATCTTTTCTTAAATTTATTAATAAAACATATTTTAAATACAATTTTTCTATAGTTCAACAAATTTAGCCATTTCAGCAGAGTTTCATAAATTTCAGCAAATTTATCTGATTTAGACAATTTCAGTGTTATCAAACAAAATTTTAAATTCATGTACACATTTAAATTCTAAACTATATGGAGATGGGAAATTTACTAATATATACTACCTCCGTCCCGGTTAAAGATTTCCATTGCAAAATGGTACAATTATTTAGACAATAAATAAAAAGGGTAATTTGAGTATATTTTATTAAATAATTTTGATGGGTACATAATATGATGAAGTCATTGATGATAATTGTGATGTTATAGATATATTATTTTAATATTTCATGATTAAATTGTCACTTAAGAGTATTAAATGTTTCTTAGAATAGAAATGAAAACATTTATATGGACGGACGTCCAAAAAATGAAAGTGAGAACCTTACAGTGAGAAACTTAAAAATAAAATATCAAATGATATGAACTATTTTTAGTTTAAGAGTGATTTAACTTTTTAAATTATAATCCAATTTTATAAAAAATTATATCAAATTAAATAACTTTTTATTTTATTTTCAAATGACACCAATATTGTATGTATTTTTTTAAATAAGTATTATATATGTATACAATACATCACAACACATCTTCAACTATCACACACAAGAACTTGTATCTAATGCTCAACAACAATATCTGATGCAGACGAAAAGAAGTATCTCACAAAAAGTTTGTATATAAAGCACCGAAGCAAGTATCTCAATCACAAAAATAGTTTCTAACGCACAACAATTCAGAACTAATATCAAACACGTAAGTATTTCATATAATTTAAACTATTATACAATACACATCAACTAGTATCTTACAACACAATACATATATACGAGGTATGCATTATAGAACTCATATCTAGCACATAGTATGGACATAGATAATCACAACAAATACATCATGCACAAGAACCAGTATTTGACACACAACTCGAAATAGTGACACAATAGTGCAGCAGTGAATTATACGAATGTGTATGAGTGAGCAAAGTGTGCAAATGTTAAGACGTAAAGTATGTTGAACATATGAAAACCATATAATTATAATTGTGCATTAGTAAATCCTTAAATCACGAATGGTGGGTTAGGGGATGTTCTCATTTCTCACAATAAGAGGTGTTCCCATTAGAGCCTTAGAACCACTCCACACACACACACACACACATCTCACAAAAAGTTTGTATATAAAGCACTTGAGCAAGTATCTCAATCACAAAAAAATAGTTTCTAACGCACAACAATTAAGAACGAATATCGAACACGTAAGGATTTCATATAATTTAAACTATTATACAATACACATCAACTAGTATTTTACAACACAATACATATATATGAAGAATACATTATAGAGTGGTTCTATAATGTGGAGTGGTTCTAAGTTTCTAATGGAAACACCTCTTATTGTGAGAAATGAGAACTCACCCTAACCCACCATCTCATTGAATAAACGGTTATTAAATAATTGACTCACAATATAAAGATGGACTTGTCCACATAGTAACATGTCTTGCACAAATGGAAAGTGGGACGTGTAAGTAATAAAGGACATTAGAGTAATTTTAAAATATCATTTAATATAGTAACGTATGTAAGACAACCACTTTTCAAAAAAAGTGAGTAAAATTAAAATCTCAAACCATATAAAATGCTTCTATTTTAAAATGGATATAACTTTTAAAATTATAATCCAATTTTATAAAAAATCATATCAAATTAAACATTTTTTTTATCTTTCATATGACACCAATATCGCATGTGTAAATATTTTTTTAAAAAATAAGTATTGTATGTATACAATAAACCACAACAAGTATTTCCAGCTATCATACACATAATAACATGTATCTAATGCACGACAATCAATATCTAATGCACACGAAAAGTAGTTTTCACAAATAGTTTGTATATAAAGCATCCGAACAAGTATCTCATCACAAATAGCAGTATCTAACACATGGCAAATAAGAACTATTATAGAACACATAAGGATTTCATATAATTTAAACTATATATAATATAATACACATCAACTAGTATCTACGACAGAATATGTATAACGTTAGAAACTTGTATCCAGGGCCGTGCCTAATGTTGAGGCCAATGAGGCATAGGCCTCAGGGTCCAAAAATTGTAAAAAAAAATTAGGGGCCCAATTTTTTAAAAAACCTTTATATAAATATATACACAAATGTTTTTCAATTATAGAGTTGTTGGTTTGTAAATTTAAAAGAGCTAACTTGTTAGTTAAGTGCTATCATGTTTTTTTCTTCTTCTACTTAAATTTCGAGTTTTAATTATTGAATTTTTGTTAAAACTTGCTTTATCAAAATACTGTTGTTCATTTATAAATTATATTCAACAGTTCTTCATTATTTATATCATTATTTTTATATCAAATATTAATACATATTTGGTTTTATGGTCCCTTCATGCTTGATTTTAGATAATTTAACAATTAGTTAAATAGTATAATATGTATTTTACAACTAAAAAATGGTAAGACCATTCATGTTCAATTATTTCAAATCTTTGAATAAGATTTATCACGATAATTTTAAATCAACATATACTATTGAGATGATGGATCCTACCTCTTTAGTTCATTTTTTAGATCACTAAGGTAGAAGATCCCACTCATTTCTATAAACACGAATGACTTCATACAAGAGATCTTATCCCCCGGCCCCTACAGTCTCAAGCTTTAAAAAGTTTTAAAGACCATTTATTGCGTGAGGAAGAGGAGATGAATACATGAATGTTGACTTAGATTA